TATAAAATGTTTAGCCCAAGTGTATCCTGGTAAATTACCATTAAATATTGGATCTTTGACACCATTATTATTTAAAAAACTCTCTGCACTATTAGCCTTATGTCGAGAGAAGTGAACGGAAAACCCCACTTGCTCGATAAAATTATCCCATTGACTAAACTTTCCTCGTCAACATTTGAAAGAGCATTATGCCTACCAACTTTCAACATATTTTTTTCATTCACTTTTCTTTGAATGGTTGATTTTGAAACCCCGTACTTCGATTCTGCATCACGATATGTAAGTTTTTTGGATATAACATCATTAATAGCTTTTTGTAACGACTGGGGGGAATAATTTTGATATGATCGACCTCCAATTTTTTTTTTTGTACTTTCCTATTGTATGTCTAAATAAAAAAAATATATTTATATGTCATAGATACCTAATCAAGTTTTATATCAATAGTTTTAAATTTTATATCAAGAAAAATAAAATGATGTCACATCAAAATTACCTAACTTGGGACACTAATTCTAATTTGGGACGTTGTCCCAAGTTACCATAAAAACTATTTATTTTCAAAATTTCACGATAACAGCAAAAATTACATATAATTGATAACAATGAAATATTGTATATTATTCACGTGTGGTTGCTGCAACTAAATGTTGTAACCCACATTTACATTCAACTAATAGCAAGCTTTTTATACACTAAGTTTTAACATGGTTTTATAAAAAATAATAATCTACATATCTATTTATATTTAAATAATAAGTACTTAAAATGTGAGAATGTCTGCGCATCAAGAAGATCGTTGTGAAAGTGATGATAAACAAATGTGTGATTATACGGAGGTGATAACAGCATTTTTAGTGCTCAAATCTTATCATTGATAATACTATATCATTTGTATTCAAGTTACCCACATGTCCCAAGTAAGGCCATTCTACGGTATTAGAAATGTTATCATTCACTAACAAAAATTCTTCATCATTAGTCGTCAAAGTATTAACTGAACTTACAGCACACTGTGAATATCAGCTATACATTTTGGATTCATTGGTAAAATATGACGACGAGCACGGTATATACATTTCCGTAATGCAGATATATAATTTATTGTCATTGTTGAGGAAACTCCAAAATCATTAATTTCTCCTGAAAAGTAGATGTTCTAATAACATTTGGAATAATGTTATTTAAGTTTAATAATTTTACCAATGTCACTCCCTACCAAACACACATCTACCAACGAAATAAAAAACTTAATACAAAAGTTAAAAATCAAAAAATCACCCGGATATGATCAAATAACAAATAAAATACTTCAACACCTTCCTAAAAAATCAATAGTTCTTCTCACACACATTTTCAATTCTATGTTGAGAATGTCCTACTTTCCGTCAATCTGGAAATTATCTGTAATCATCCTTATACACAAACCCAACAAACCAAAAAATTAACCCTCCTCATACAGGCCATTAAGCCTTCTACCAGTATTAGGGAAATTATTTGAAAAAGTGATGCTTAAACGAATTAGACCCATTCTCAAGTTCCACAAAATTATACCAAATACCCAATTTGGCTTCAGAGAAAACCACTCCACAACCCACCAGCATCGAATTGTCGACAAAATAGCCTCGTCGTTTGAGACCAAAAACTTCTGCCCAGGAGTATTCTTAGACTTATCACAAGCGTTCGACCGTGTCTGGCACACCGGTCTACTCTTTAAGCTAAAAATGTTCCTCCCGACTCCACTCTACTTGTTGACCAAATCATATCTACAAGACCGCGCATTTCTCGTCCGCCAAGGAGACTCCCTCTCATCACAATTCAAAATCTTAGCAGGAGTACCCCAAGGAAGTGATCTATCACCAGACCTCTACAACATTTATACAGCTGACATTCCCAACTGCGAAAATACACTGATAGCCACTTACGCCGACGACACGGCAATCCTCTCATCCCATCCAGATTCCACAACAGCATACCAAAACCTCCAAATTCATCTTGACAATATTTCACAATGGTCCACCAAATGGAGAATAAAAATCAATACAGACAAGTCCTTTCACATTCCTTTTACTTTAAGAAAAGCTGTTCTTCCTACAATCTATTTTCAAAACAATCCAATCCAAACCACAACTCAAACCAAATACTTAGGTCTAATTTTAGACAAGCATCTAACTTGGGGCCCACACCTCAAAACTAAAAGAAAGACTCTCAACACCAGACTTCATCTACTACGACCTATCCTCAAGTCCAAACTCTCTATTGACAACAAATTACTATTATACAAATCAATGCTAAAACCTATCTGGGCATACGGCATACAAATTTGGGGATGTGCCAAGCCTTCCCAAATACGGACCATACAAGCCTTCCAGTCTATTTCCCTTCGCCTAATAACATCCGCGCCATGGTACGTCTCAAACCTCTCACTTCACAAGGATCTTAAAATTGAAAGTCTCCAAAACAGCCAAAAACTACTACAAAAAGTTACACACCAAAACAGCTAACCACACAAATCCATTGATTTCCAACTTGGCCAGTGAATTCATGCCAAATAACCCCCCACGTCGTTTTAAAAGACACTGGTGTCGTGATCTCCTAAATCCCTAAAACTGCACTAATTGAAAAAAAAAAAATAAATAAAATAAAATAAAATAAAATAATACTCTCTCCCCCAAGTTAGTGGGTATCCACACTGGTGGACCTCCCTCCTCACGCCATTCATGTTACCTACCTTTTCTTGTTATCATATTTACTTATTGTATGTATAAATTACAGATTGTAAATACTCTATTTTATCTAATAAAAAAAAAAAAAAAAAGTTTAATAATTTAATTTCAACTAGTATTGTTTTTCCAGGTCTTTGAAAAATATATTTGACAGCTTTTCGCTTACACGTGGTTGCTAATTTTTGATGATCTATATTTTTAACTGAACAATTGCCTCCATAAGCACCTATAATAAATAATAAATAAATTTCATTTTTCATAAATAAATAAATAATTAAATAAATATATTTATTTTACGTACCTTTTGTTTCAACTTTTCAAGTATGACTTTTTCTTTTTCAAAAATATTGGCCACACAATTTTTCATGAAACATCTCCACTGAGATACATTTGTTTTTGACGTATAATCAAAAACATATTTAAAACCATATAAAATCAACATGAGGTAAATCTCTTTTGCTTACAACAAATTCCATTTCTAAGTGTTGTTAGTTTGGTGACAAACAGAACAGAAACTGAAACGAAATATATAAGAATCTTACATTTGTCAGATAATAATTGTGTGCGAATTATAAATAAACCATGACCGTACAGTGTATGCTTCTTTCCGTTATCGATGATTATCAACAATTATCTCAGATTTTCGAAGACATTACAAATGTCATTGCTATTAACTACATGTTACATTACTATATTTTATACATACCACAACATATATTCAATATTGCTTAAAAATTAAAACCGATGGTTTCCAAACTTTTTTTGGCGGAAACGAGAATCGTGAATCTTTCGTTTTTGGCGGAAAAGGGCTATGGCGGAAACGGGTAACTCTCGGATTCCATGTCATCCGGCACCGGCTACGGTGGGCTTGGCTAATAAAATACAAGCCTGTAACGTGCATAATAAATCCGTTATAGTTATATTCCGTTGAAGTTTCTACTTTGCTTTTGTTTTTATAATACTATCTATGATGATTTCTTCAATTATAATTAAAATAATAAGAAATTAAGTATTCAAAATTGAATCAGCTCTCACAAACATTAGTATTTTAATACCCACACCATCCATATGTCCAAAACTAAAAAATCATAAAATTTTTTAAAATACTTTATTAATCTGTTTTAGAACTTCTGACTGTTGGGCTCTAGCTTATTAGGTGTAATAAGATCCATTTAACAAAATATCTGACTATAATCGATTAGTGGCAGTCAACACTAGCTCTTAGACTATTTTACATGTGAATATTGAGGATGTACACACTACACACAGTTATATGCTATAATGCTAAAGCAAAGGTGATGAAAATTAATTAATTATAAATACACACCTCGTGTAATACACACCCAATTAACACAATTTTTAAATTTTCTTCTTTTCAAAGATGTTGCTTGAAAAATAAAGAAACTTCTTATAATCTTAAATGTACAGTACGTTTAACATGGAACCTCGTTTGACATAATATATGAAATCTTACGTGGCAGATGAACATTAATATTTTTTGTAGCGAACTTTTGAGATTTCGTATAGTACACAAAGTGTATCTTAAAGCACGAAAAAATAGTCACTGCAACCGGGTGTTTGTTTTAGAAACAAATTGTTTGTTAAAATATAAGTAAGTTAATATTAGTACATATTTTAGAATTAATTTAAATTTAAAACATACAAATTATTTTTAAAATTTAATTTTTTACCGATTACATCTATAGTAAGCATAGTTGTATTTCAGTTGTAAGAACTGTGATATCAAACTGAAGAAGTCATTGAAGAATTTAAAAGCTGGTAAGTCAGAAATCCTATACGTCTTCTTAAACATTAATTTCTATTAAATTTTCAAATCTTAAGGTCATAATTGAAAATGTATGTATCTCATGGATATAAATATATAATATAAGTAAATAAATATGCAACAAAATATGTTATTGGTTATTTTTTTTTTTACTGAATTTTGATGATTCTATTCTTTTCTAAGTTGTAAGGTTCTAACTCTTATACGATTTTAGTTTCAATTGATAAAGAATAATAACACATAATTGTATGTTGCATAAGAAAAATAGAAAATTTACAAAATACAGTATAATTTGTTAAAAAAAAATTGTTAGTGAAATAACGACAAACATTTTCATAGGAAAACATTTTAAATGATGGCAAAAATAGCAGAGGTAGATAATTAATAGTAAAAATTAAAAAAGGAATGCACTACCTGCAAGCAATGTCTTCTCACGCTTATCACTAATGAAAAAAAATCACTAACATCCTAGTAAAAAAAACTAATAATATAATAAATGTATCGTATATTATTGAAACAAGCAATATGAAAAGAATACGTGGAGATGTACATAATAAAATCGTAATAACTATACATATTAAGTTAAAAAACAATGTACGATTAAGACACTAATTTGATAAAAAGTTATGATCATATATGAACAACTAACAGTCAGTGTTGTCGTAAATGTATCAAGTAAAAAAAAACAATAATTAATTATAACTGACAATCATTAGTGTGATTTTTGTATAAAATAATCTGCAGGTTAACATTCATGACTCATGTGGTCAATTCGATTTGTTCCTGGTAATGTTCTTAAAGCTCTAGAAAAATCGTAAAACACAGTTATGTTTAATTAATACGATTAAACACAACATACAAAGGTTCAGGTTGTACCTCAACTGCTAAATTATGTAACAATTCAGACGTTTCGCTTCCAGTTTGTTCTACCATTTTGTACAAAAACCCATCTTTATTTTGCAACAAGTTATAAGGGTGGTCGAATTCGACCATTGTTCCGGCATCCATAACTAGCACCCTGTCAGAATCCATAACTGTGTTCAGTCGGTGAGCGATCGTTAACACTGTACAAGACCGAAATTTATTTCTAATCGTATTTTGAATCAACGCATCAGTCCTGAAAATTAAAAAACAAACCACCACACACAGTTTTATGAATATAACGAGAACATTATTATTAGGCTCGATCCTATATGATTTGTATCAATAATTACTGTGAATCCACATTGGCAGTAGCTTCGTCCAGCACGAGGAGCTTATTACTACGCACAATAGCTCTGGCCAAACACACTAATTGCCTTTGACCAACGCTGAAGTTAGACCCACCTTCAGACATTTTTGAGTTGAGACCGTCGGGCAAATCCTCGACGGCGGTTTTAAGTTCCACCTTAAACAGTAATAAATGCACAAAATATTACTCATGAAACTCTTTTTATTACTTTGTAATAGTAATGACGTAAATATATAAATCAACTGCAGTATTTGGAAATTATAAACGACATAATATACTTCTTCTAAAGCATTCCAAAGAGCATGATCCGGGTATTCGTCCAAAGGATCTAAGTTTTTACGCATTGATCCCGAAAACAAAACTGGTTCTTGTGGAATTATTGAAATTTTGGAACGTAAATCGTGTAATCCCAATTCGTGTATTTCTATACCATCAATGGTGATATTTCCCTCATTGAGAGCAAGTCTAAATAATGCTCCTATCAGCGACGATTTACCTGCACCAGTTCGACCTACAATTCCAATCTAGTTCAAAAAACAATTTTCATAATACTAATTATTTTCAAAGAAAATAAAATAATATCTATAATGATACGTATCGGTTATTATTACTTTTTCCATTCCTTGAATTTGAATATTGAGGTTTTTTAAAACATATTCCGCATCTAAACTATAACGTAGATAGAAATTTTCAAACACAATTCGACCTTTATCTGGCCATTCTTTTGGTGGTTTTTTATCTGAAACAGTAATACGAAAATATCCATATCGTTACTTGTTTTAAGTAAATCAATCTAAAGTTATACCGTAAATTGTAATTATTTAAAAAAATATTTGAGTCTTTTTTAACCATATTGACCCATTGTATAGGTACATACAATGTAGAAATACCCACAATTTACATATATCTATTCCAAAATTGTTCATTTTAAGTTATACTTATTTTCATTTGCTTAATTCAAGTTAATCAGCTGTTGCTACAAGCTTTGAATTGTATATAATGGAATATTATCAAATTTACATATTAAATTTTTAACATTTATAGTGTTAATCACATAGTAATAAAATATTTATATTATGATTATATTACCAGGGGAAGAGTGAAGAGATGCTTCTTGTGGAACATTTGTATACTCAAGTACTCTCTCAACAGACGTCATTTGATTATCTAATTCAGCTAATTGTCTTATTCCCCACTGTAGAGCACCCGTCAAACTAATTGCTTGAGTTATGACCAATCCAACATCACCCCCAAAATTATCTAAAAATTAAATAAATGATTAATAAAATGAATATCACAACAATCAAGTATACATTACCATTTTTTACTACCAAGAAACTTAAAGTTAAAATACATATATAAATGAAACATATCATGTCCAATGCAAATCCAAATGCTTCACTGGACGTAATAAATAAATACCATGTCGAAGAATGTAAGTCCTAAACATTTTAAAGGAATTATTAACATTTTAATATCGATAAATATATTTTCTTTACTTGGTGTCCATCAAATTCTTTACACAAAATGTCTTCAGCTTCAAACGCTCGGATAGTGGTCAATCCTTGAAGTGACGCATTCAAATATCCATACACGGGGCTTCGGCCTATATGTTAAAAAAAAAAAAACAAAATACTTCGTTGTTTAAAACTCCGTAAAAGTTATACAATACATAGTGAGAGTATATAAATCTGCACTTACAAACACCTTCCAAACGTTTGATACTACGCGATGTCGATAAATAAAAATTAACAGTATAAAAACACATTAATCCTATGATGAAAGTCGGTATGAGAAGATAAAAGTTAACAATACCAACAACAAAAAGAGTTCCCAGAAGTTGTAATAATATCTGGTAAAACAAAACAAATACAAAAAAAGGTTTATTAAGCGTTATTTATACTCACAATAAAATTATTGTACACGAAATGTGAAGAAAACATGAGTTTAATATAAATTATAATTACATGAACAAAATCCAATAAAGGCACTGGTAGTATTTCATCAATGGCACCAATATCTTTAGTAAAGCGGTTAAGAATTCGACCTGAAAAATTAATATTGACTACCTAATATTAGATCTTATATGAATTCTATTCAATACTTATTCAATAAATTCATTACCCGATGAATTTGTATTGAAGAAGTGCATTGTGGCTCTTGTAATAGCGTTGAACATATTGTTATGTAAATTCATAGAAGTACCCATTAGAACTGATATGAACATAGCACATCTTATGAAAATAACTAATATCAAAGTTATATTTAGAAAAGAGTACATTATAACACAAAATTGACGAGATATTATCAAAGGTGTGTCGGAGTATAAGTAACTAATTAAAATACTGATATTCGTAGATTTGATATCTGCATTACGAAAAACGTGATCTTCAAGGTTAACCCTAAAACAAATGTGTATTTTTAAACATTTAATTAAAACTGACTATTAAAAGAAAACCAAAAGTTACCAATAACTTATCCAATAATCTCCACCAGTACCAAGCATTTGAGTGAAAATGCAAACGAATAATAAAAATGAAATTTTAAAAACACCCCCTCCAGCAGAAATATAAGACAAATAAACTCTAAGTGAAACTTTTCCGGAAGACCTAGTTTCAGCGACTTCAGTTGGTTCTTTTTGAGCTCCGTTTAATTTAATCTCGTCAACCGGTGACGAAACACTTTCGATAGGGCCTTGTGGAGATGAATCAGAGAGTTGTTCCAAACTTTTATTAGTAGCATTTGTCTTTTCAATTTCACCGTCAGCGGTTGTTTCTTCTGATGACCTAAGTAATTTTGTAAAGTCTAAACCAGAAGATTGAAGTTCCGGATACGATCCCTCAGCTAATATATTAGCCTAAGAAAAAAAATTATAATAAAATATTATTTAATTTTTATTGAAACATATTTTAGTCCAGGACTGTTACCAATATTACTACTTACATTTTCCATCAAAACAATTTGATCAACATTCGACAAGTATTGTATTTGGTGAGTAATAAGAATACAAGTTTTCTCTTTGAGGTAACCTGTGAATTAAATATTTAATGTCATCAAATACGTATGCAAATGACAACTCTATAAGCCCATCAAAATATCTCTATAGGTACCTTTAATGCATTTATCAAATAAATGTTTTCCAACGTGCGTGTCAACAGCTGATAGAGGGTCGTCTAATAAATAAATATCGGCTTGTTTGTATATAGCTCTAAAATCATAAAATGAAATCAACTAGAAATCATAAAAAATTATTGAAATTATCATAAGCAACTAATTGTCTACTTACCTTGCTAGATTTACTCTCGCTCGTTGACCACCACTAAGAGAAACTCCTCTTTCTCCAACTAAAGATCTGTCACCGTAAGGAAGTTGTTTAAAATCGGTTTTCAATGCGCATGCTTCTATGACCTAGTTCATAACTCACATTAAATTTATGATTTTGAATATAAAGACATTCCTTTATTTGTTGAAAATTTTACTTCATTGTAACGATTATGATCCATTGGGGAACCAAAAAGTATATTTTGTTGAACTGAACCATTGAACAACCATGGTTCTTGAGAAGCATATGATACTGTTCCTCGAACAGAAATACTTCCTTCGCAAAGTGGCAATTCTCGTAAAATCGACTGGACCAATGAACTCTGTATAGAAAGTAAAGTTTTCTTTGTATTATTATTCTACTTATTTTCCATGCAGCCCGTGTATACTTTTCCGGCTCCTACGGGCCCAATGATTGCAACCAACCGCCCCGGTCTAACGGTTAAATTAATATTATTTAATGAGTTATCGGGTTGATTGAGTATCCATTTAGCCGAGGCGTTTAAAATGTCGATTCCAAAATTACACGATTGGTCAATATTTTCTTCATTTCCAGTTTTATTTTCTGTATGTTTTTTGTTATTCGTGTTTGACATTTCTATGCCATTTGTTGATGTTGTTTCTGATTTCAACTTGTCCTTTTCATCTTGTAGTAAAAATGACTTTTTATACAAAAAAATATTTAATATTTACTGTATATTTGAATTCTATAATCTAAGATAACTATTGATTTTGTATACCTGAATGCGTTTAATGGACACTAGCATCTCAGCTAGTGTTAAAACACCTTGAGGAAAAAATACAGTCATTGTCGTCATTAATACACTGTAATACGATATTATAACAAAAACCTATAGAAATAAGTTTTATTAAATAAAACTAAGTAATTTGGATATTAGTATTGTATCAAAAGTATATTTTATAATCAGACACGGCGCTAAGTGTGGAAAAAAAGGGTTGTCTTTAGCTTTCCATAAAAATGGTCCTGTCCCTTCGCCATATCTCCCACTGATAATGTAATTTGGTACAGAACGTCACATGTTATTTTTATATGAGCAATCATATATCTCTGATTTACACTCAAAGTACTTTTTTTTAAATATTGATAATTTAAATTAATTCTTTTTTGGTATTATGTTGAGTTTTAATATTTTTATAATATTAGGTATTATTTAAACATTTAGATTTCCCACATCTATATAATATTAAGTTAGTCTAGGCGTGTTACTGTTTATCAATTCTTTTTATACTGAAATCATTTAATACGCTTTGTAATATATCATCAAATATTTAGTTTTAGTTTACATTCCTACCAAAAACAATACGGTGACAAGGTGTATATCAGGTAACATTTGATTGAGAGTACTATTCATATGTGAATGTTATATGTTAGTAGTATTTTTAAAACGTTGTGAATTACTAACAAATGCAGACATGCCATATTGTCTATTTAAAATTTAGAATAACTACTGAAAGTATTTAAAAAAGTTCAATGTGTACTACTATAGCAATGTTTTGTTAAATCAAATTAAATTATTTATCTGAGTTATCAAGAAAATCACAAAAAAAAGTTGCTGCTCCACTCCACAACCCTGCAAGGACGAAAATTCTAGCTCTATGCCTGTTTACAATTAGTGTTTCAAACTTTTATATGTACTTGTTGAGTGTTGATGTTATTTCCTAATAATACATATGATAAAATGCTTATGAACAACGCTAATCTAAAATGAAATATTCTGAATGATTGTAAAAAAACTCTAATCCACGATGATCCTTTGATCTGTTTGATTTCCATCCTGTAACAAAATAAATTCATATATATTTAATTTAGCAATATTATAAAATGTTTTCGTAGCACACACTTTCTTGCATATTGTACAAGCAATGCAAAAGGTTTCTCCCATGTGTACATCTTAATCACTTGTATGCCTGATATTATTTCGTTCATTAGTCTTACTCTTTCGTCAGTCCTCGGGGCCGTTTTTGATCGATAGTCAGATGTCACCTTCCCCAACCATCCTGAATATAAAAATGTTTTTATTTAATAGTGCATTAGTATACAGCAGATTACAATTGGTTTCGTACGTACCTTGTAATGGAACAAATGCGAGAAATACAGTTACTCCAATTATTGAGGACACGCCTATTTCTTGCCACAAAAAATAGGTGACCAGAATAGTTTGCAGGGGTCCGATCCATAAAAATTGCATAAATCTTAATGCTATATCGAATCGGTTTACGTCATTTGATATCAAATTAACTACTTGACCGACTGTGGTTTCATAGAGAGACGTTTTACTTAATGTTAATGCCTATATGTATGTATAATAAAATATAAGGCAGAGCCGCATAGGTAACAATAACGAGTAATTAATTATTAATGATATGCAACATGTGATACTCAATAACAACGAAAACATTGTTAACTTGAAATCATAGTATCCTTGATTTTCGAGTCACCAAGTGCCGTTTGTTTGAAAAACTAAATAAAAAAAAAACTTTCACCATTACAGAAGGCAAATCTTTTCTTATTGTGTCGCCTTTTATTTGTGCTCTATATACACGCCAGTTGATTATTTTATAAGTCAACTCAAAACTAATGTTTTGATAACTTAATATCGTGGTCGTTTATATGTAAGCCAAAAAGTTCTGAATGATATTTAATAATTATAGATATGATAATATATAATTTGATGGTGCCTATACCAATTTATTTTTGGTAAGTGCATTTACCTTTTTATATATTGTTGAACAACAAGCAACACGGATTTTCATTCCAAGATGTATCATTTCCAATTGCGAATAATGATACAATAATATGTTGGCTAACATGTTTAACAGCAGACCGGAAGCATACATATAGGCTTGTTTGGAGTCTATGATGTTGGACCCGCTGGAGTTGAAATATGCTAACAGTCCTCCGATGAGTATAGGTTGAGTCATTCTAAAGAAAGTTCACTCTCATAATTTCTACTCACATATTATGAGCTCTGATGATTGATATGATATTTCTATTACAATAATCAAGAATATTCAAACTTTATACAATAACCTCAGAATTGTTTTTTATAAATAAGAATTTGTCATTGAATTATAATTACCAGATCTATTGAAGTGACTCAATGACAAGGTGCACTCGAAATTTGGGGCAATTAAGGTAGAAGTTAAGGGAAAGACTTTAGCTCTCATATTGTTCTTCTATATAATGTACCTTATATTAGAGGGGAAATTTTCTCTGCTATGTTTTTTAATAAAATAGATATGTGTAACGAATATTTAAAATATTTATTTAAATAAATATAAATGTACTTACATCAGAAAGAGTTCTCTGGTTTTATTTCATAAAATAAATTGTAGTTTATTTTTAAAACAATATCAATGGCTTGATTAAAACGATACGAACATCCGAGGGGAAATCGAATACAAGAATATTTTATATATTTTATACGATTTAGTAAATATATTTACCTTAACATGGTTTCAACGAACATTTGTACCATCCCATAGTACAAAAAACTTCCACCAAACATTCTGATTAAGACTCTTGATACACTAGGTTCCCGATTTGCACTTTTTGCATTAGCGATCTCGTTTTTCCATCTCCTTGTATTGAACAATTTTAAGGAAACATGTTAATGTTAGCTAAAAATAATTTAATGTTATAAATATACTTTTCAAATTCGAATCCTAATAATGATGACTTGTCATCGTTAAGTGGATCGTAAATATCATTGCTCTCCAAATCTCTCTTTTGTCCAGTTTTAAATAGATTTAAAATCCAGCTGTATCATATAAATTTAGTACAAATATTAATATTAAATTAAATTTTTATTTTTGAGCTATATTTAATTTAGATTTGACAAAATTATATTTTGAAAAAGTAAAAAAAGTGCCTTGAGGATTTCAACTCAATATTTCTTTCTCTCTCAGACCAACGCGCAACATGGATAAAACGCTTTCACTTAGAATAATTTTTCATGATTTTTGGGTAATTTTAGTGTAAAATTACCTATTGTAATAACTAATAGTTATAGATTAAAATACTTTTTAAGATATGACATTTTAAAAAATATTATATTTTTTTGTTTTTTTTAATAAGTGATTTTATTCTGAAGTTACTTTAAAACCAAAAAAATAAAATTATTTTACGTAAATTCGTTTTGTCCGTGTTGCCAGAGAGAGAACAAACGAAATGAAGAACGTCATTTTTTTTTCGGTTCCTATTAATTATAAGCTTATATTCTAACACAACTGCAGAATTAAAGTATTAATTAGGACCTAAATGTCAGAATTTCGAAGATATTTGCTTTGGCTCTAGGATTTGGTAGCCGTTTTTCTTTATTGCCTGCCGCGTCCATTTTTAACCTAAAACAATATTTAAAAAACAATTTGGTTAGTTAATTTAATATGAAATACCCCAGACAAAAATCTAATATTGTAATATTATCATTATAAATTACCGTCTTGGACCATAAACAAAGGAAAAAAGTTAAAAACGCTTTTTTGTAAAACATATATAATAAACACTAGTGTATTTTTTAACTAAACCCGATATTTTATTCCTGCGAAAACGATTTTAATAAGTATGTAGCATTTTATTATACAATTAATGAAACGTCCGATGACGAGGGTCGGTATAATATGATGTAACGTTTACACAAAAATGTATTAAATCCATTTCATAAACTATTTTATCAAGTTTTTTAAAGCTCGATCTAAGACGTATTAAAATGAATTTACTCTCTATCAGCATTTATAAAATGTAATAGTTACAAAGTTTTTCTTTGATGGTATGAAAATAATAATGACTTTTAAATATTACTATTTACAAATATTTAAATAATACTCCCTTAACATACTTCTCTTTCTGTTGAATAAAGGCCAACATTTTTATTTAAAATAACACCAACGAGTAAAGCAAAATATTTGAATCAAATATTTACTTTTGAAAACGCACGTGTGTAATATCACAATGTAGACAAAACAATGACGTACTGTGTAGTGTCATACTGCTGTTAATTTATTGTACAAGAATCACTTTATCTCATTTTATTTTTATTAGGAATTTTATTATCATGTAACTATTAAATATTCTTGTTGATATTTCTATTATGTTAACTATCATTTGAAACGACAAAAAAGTATGTTTGTCAGTAATTCCTAAAGTATTTCTGAAATTTATTGTGCCACACTTGGAAGTTGGATTATCCCGTTGGGCGTTGGTTGCTGTTCCTACAGGTACAGGTACTTGGTACTGTTTGACTTTCAAATAATTAATAACTAATAGGTTGACATTTTTACAGAACAGATTTTGACTACCTACGTGACTTACCTGTATATTAGTATATTATTATCATATTTGTCACATTGCTTAAATATTCAACATATAGGTACCTATTATAAACTAATTATGACGAAACATCGTGTACGTGTATCATTACTCTTAACACGTTTTAAATTTAAATTGCCTTTATACAATGGAAAATTGGAAAAGTCTCAGACTACTTGGCAATGGATGTTGGCGTATTAATATTGTAGTGTATATAAGTATGAATATTATGCGATTTAAGGTGATGATTTAAACACCTTTAAACGATTAAATCGTTTTGTTAAGACCACAATTTCTTACGCTTTTTTTGATAAATTTCCTGAATTCTCATTAATTTACTTACACTTAATCCTTTTAGCACTAAGTGTGATAAAATAATTTTAATTATTTTGTCATAATTTAAAAATATTATTCGAGGGTAGGAACTCAATACTTTTGAAGTACATAATAAACACAATGACATTTTCAAATAAAATTTTTTTTTTGGCAATAATTAATTCAACCTATTGTATTATTGTTTCACTAATGTCTAATAGTAAAATAAATTACTTTAATAGGTACCAATAATATCACAAAATATACTTAGTAATATTATAGGCTAAGTCTGCCTTCACTGTAAGAATTATTTTCCGTAAACAATGATTTTATATCATTAAGTTTAAATTCAACCTATCCGTTACAGGGTACAGCGACCCCTGTAGACAGTAGACACTTACAACTGTACAACAAACCATAATATTATGACTAGAAAATTTTTTTTTTTAAATAATGTACATTTAAGATTTATTTTCCAGTGGTTTATAGATTTGTTATCATAAATTACATCGCAATAAAGTTTTTATTGCAGGTGCTGATGAATTTTTAAAAGCAAAAACACATAAGTATATATTATACCGAAAGAGTGACATAAGTGTGTTATGGTGGACGCATATTATAATAATACACATCTATAGCACTCGAATGGTTTTGATGAAACTAATGAGAAATATTAAATATTCTTTCAAAGTAGGTACTATCTAATAACTTTTAGAGTTTTAGACTTCAAATATTTTATCAATAATGCCCAAAATAGTAAAATTTCATAGATTAATTTTATTAATTTTATGATTAGTGAAAAGTTCACGCAAATAGGTTACTGATTAATTTTGTTGTAAATCATTTTTCTTTTTTCAATCTATACAGTATTCTGAGTGTAATAAATTATAAACTATGTGTGTTGGTGGGCAATTAATTTTATATACACAATACACCTAATAAAACTTATAAGTTAATAACAAATTAAATGAAAATTATAAAAACATAGAATATACGTACCATATGTGATAAATTTATGAAAATGATGTATTATTTGTTCAGATTGTATTGGTACACAGGTAAATTGTTTGTATACAAATTACAAGATATTTATAATATAAAAAAAGTTACTTCTAACGTTAAAAAAAATCTTGCCCTGAAGCTAAACATAATATATTTATGAATACACATTTCAAAACAATTTTAATAGATGACATTTTTTAAATATTTTAACTTCACAATAATAATAGTAAAAAAATTTGGTTTCCAGTCACAGTAAAAAATATTGTTACTCAAAATCACAAAAATAACCAAATAATTTGTTTAACATTTCATTTTAATTTAAAAGCACCGGTTGTGAGTAAAAATGATAGAACACAGTAGGTACTAACTAATAGGTACCCATAGCTATTATAGCTAGGTTGCATAGGTCGCAGCGATAATATGATGTTATAACGGGTGATTGATTTGACGACTTGAGGAGTATATAGATTAATATAATATAATAATATTATGTATACTATTATACGCACTAAATTAAAAAATATATAAAAATTTAAGTTTCTTTGATTCGTGTTTTATTTTGTAACTTCAATTTTTATGTTCAATATTTTTTTTAATTACTCACAATTGTTTTACTCTGATATTTGGGGTAAAATAAATTTTAGTACGTACAACATATATAAGATGAGATATTTGATAAAAATGTAGTATTTACAAGGGTATAAATGCATAAAATTATTTAAGTATTGCTTTAATGCCTATATGCCTCCAAACTAAATAAAAATAAATTAGGAACTTCAATAAATTACGTGTTCAGTCATTTTTGCTCATTAATATTACACCTTTAATTGATCACCCAGTATACATAACAGTACGTTAGATAACTGTTATTATGCATAAACAGTGCAAGTAATTTGTACATTAGTTTTTTTTTAATTACATATTGTTTATTACGTATTCACGTATAATAATTATTCGTATGTAAATGAATTTATTTATTGATAATATTATAGTGTATGTAATTAAATAAAAAATATTGTGTAATTTTAAGAAGTAGGTACCTATTCTAATTATTTAAGCCTAATTACAAATTAAAATATTATTATATATAAGCGCTAGAATCTTTTCGACCAAAATTGTACCTTTCCCTTTTCGGCCAAACTAAAAGTTTAAATACTAGGGTTAGAAAAATTTGTTTTCGTTCGTGTTTGAATTTCAGTTTCTAACAAATTTTCTAATCTTTTATTTAATTTTTCATTATATTCATTAGAATTTGTTATTCATTGAATGTTTTCGTAATCTTATTTATTTGGTAATACATAATTGAACTTTCCATATCGGTTTGAGACTGAGTTGTTTCTCCTGTTATCATAAATTTAATCAATTCAAATTTTCTTAAATTATATTTTAGTTGCTTAAGATAATTATTATCCTTAATGCCTATGTTTCTAATTATATTTGGTTTTAAGCCCTTCTTAATTGTATGCATTAGTTATGTTTCGGGCATTGTAGGATTTATTCTGTTAGATAAAGGTTCTGCTTCCTATTCCTAACTTGTGAGTTTAATTTCACTTTCTAGTATGCTTTCTAAAACATAATATTTTGTGTCATTTATTAAATTTGACTCATTATTATCAAAGAAAGTTACAGCAGGGTCTTTTAAATAAAGAGGTAAAAACTTTATTTTCTCCTGGTCAGACCAAACGTTTATATTAGCTACTCTAAAATATATTTTCATACACGTGTAATATCTTCAGAAATTAGACAGGAAAATGTTTTACCTAGGTTTATAAAATTGTATTCTTGTAATGTCCATTATGTTTGCGATAGAAGTATTGATAAGATTGATTGGTTTCAATTCTCCGTTAAGATATGTTTACTGTATAGCCTATTTTTTAATTTAAGAACTGTGTCCGTGTGATTAGGTTTCGTTAGATTAGGTTATTAGATTATTATATTATTTTAATATTTTTTTATTATTCTTTACTTTTTATGTATATATAATTTTTTTTTTTTCGTTACGATCCACAAGTTTGGGAGCCACTTGTTGTAATATAAAATCAGGTGCGTGCGCAACACATATGTATTTATCTATTTTTGCTCATTTATGATTTATTATTTATATATATTATACGTAAGCATTCTAATTTAATACCTTCTTATATATATATAAATGTATATTATATACACACATGTAAGTATATTTATAAATTATAAAGATTAAATTATATAATAAATTAACTCACACTAGTTCAACTGCAGGCTTGTCTAATATTTTCAATGAACGAAAGGATGAAAGAAATAGGTTTAATATTTATTCACTTATAATTTAATATGTATAAAGAAGTAAAGAACACAATATATCAAAAATACTTTAAAGAATACATTTTTTAATTAAAGACACAAAATGTTACATAGGTACTAAATAATAAGTATTACAATATACTCCATTATACGCATAACCACCTTCGTAGACATACGCCGAGGGAGTGTCGCTGTCCAGAAAGGGCCGAAGGTCGGTGGTTGTCGTCCAAACCGATGTAATGGTTTATTTAGATAAAGTCATAAAGACATATCAATATAGAATCACAGATGTCCATATTATTATGTAAATAACAGTGTGACTGTTTATACAGAATGATATAGGGTATGTATAATAAGGAATATGATGATGAGATTCTTGTTAATCATTAGTTATAAAGAATGACAATCATTACAAATATCTAATATATATAGTATATTATTAAAACAAGCAATAGGAATAGAATACGTGGAGATGTACATAATAAAATATTGTAATAATTATACAATTTCAGTTAAAAAACAGTGTACAATTAAGACACTAATTTAATAAAAAGTTAAGTTATGGCCATGTATGAAAAACAAACAGTCAGTGTTGTCGTAAATGTACCTATTTAGTAAATACAATATAATAATTAATTAAAACTGACAATCATTAATATGATTTTTGTACAAAATCATCTGAACCTTAGTACTCATGACTCATGTGGTCAATTCGATGTGTTCATGGGCAATGTTCATAAAGCTCTATAAAAAAAATGTACAAACGCAATTAGTTTATACGATTAATTCGATTAAATACATTGTACAAATGTACAATTAGCTTCAGGTTATACCTCAAGTGCTAAATTATGTAATAATTCAGACGTTTCGCTTCCAGTTTGCTCTACCATTTTGTACAAAAACCCATCTTTATTTTGCAACAAGTTATAAGGGTGGTCGAATTCGACCATTGTTCCGGCGTCCATAACTAGCACCCTGTCAGAATCCATAACTGTGTTCAGCCGGTGAGCGATCGTTAACACTGTACAAGACCGAAATTTATTTCTTATCGTATTTTGAATCAACGCATCAGTCCTGAAAATTAAAAAACAAACCACCACACACAGTTTTATGAATATAACGAGAACATTATTATTAGGCTCGATCCTATATGATTTGTATCAATAATTACTGTGAATCCACATTGGCAGTAGCTTCGTCCAGCACGAGGAGCTTATTACTACGCACAATAGCTCTGGCCAAACACACTAATTGCCTTTGACCAACGCTGAAGTTAGACCCACCTTCAGACATTTTTGAGTTGAGACCGTCGGGCAAATCTTCGACGGCGGTCTTAAGTTCCACCTTAAACAGTAATAAATTTACAAAATATTACTCATGAAACTCTTTTTATTACTTTGTAATAGTAATGACGTAAATATATAAATCAACTGTATTTTTAAATTATAAACGACATAATATACTTCTTCTAAAGCATTCCAAAGAGCATGATCCGGGTATTCGTCCAAAGGATCTAGGTTTTTACGCATTGATCCCGAAAACAAAACTGGTTCTTGTGGAATTATTGAAATTTTGGAACGTAAATCGTGTAATCCCAATTCGTGTATTTCTATACCATCGATGGTGATATTTCCCTCATTGAGAGCAAGTCTAAATAACGCTCCTATCAACGACGATTTACCTGCACCAGTTCGTCCAACAATTCCAATCTAAATTCAAAGAGTTTATTATCATTATATCCCCGACAGCAATTTGTAATGATAATATTACTATAATACCATTGTACAAATTCATAATAAAAATATATGATAAATAAACTCATTTTTAACTATCATTACAAATTGCTGTCTAGCACAAAGCTTTTAAAATAATATTAATAAGAAAACATCATAGTTAATATTACTTTTTCCATTGCCTGAATTTGGATGTTGAGATTTTTTAAAACATGCCCCTCATCTAGGCTATAGCGTAAATAAAAGTTTTCAAACATAATTGCCCCTTTATCTGGCCATTCTTTTGGTGGTTTCTTATCTAAAACATAAATAATACCTATATGATTTATGTGTGAAATATTAAATACATACTTTATAAATCACTGTTTACCTATGCAACATATTATATGCATCAGAGTTTTAAGAATCTAAATGTAGTAATGTAATATTTACTCAACTATATTATCAATAAAGTGTACAATAAACTTTAAGCTATATAAAAGCACTTATTAAGTTTATTGATGATTGCTCGATTATAAGTTCAAGATTTACGTAAGTTTTGAGTTTTATCGAGGCCTTGTTCAACATTTGTTTGTTACACATTTTAATTAAATAAGCCTTATGACAGATAAACTCAACTTTTCGTCTTCATTTTAGAACAATTTTTGTTGTATTTAGGTAATAACCAATAATGTTATGGAATACATCACTGTGATAAATATTACCTTGTGCAGATTCAAGTGCAGGTTCCTGTGGAACATTTGTATACTCAAGTACTCGTTCAACAGATGTCATCTGATTATCTAATTGTGCAAATTGTCTTATTCCCCACTGGAGTGAACCCGTCAAACTCATTGCTTGAGTTATAACTAGTCCAACTTCCCCCCCAAAAGTATCTAAAAAATAAGTAAACATCTTCAACAAAAGTCATTATGAAAAACTAATTCATATATTACCATTTTTGACAACTAAGAAGCTAAATGTTAAAATACTTATATATGTAAGACATATCATATCCAAAGCAAAACCTAAAGCTTCTGTAGATGAAATAAAAATATACCAAGCCGAAGAATGTAAGTCCTAAACATTTAAGCAAAATATAAATATTTTATTTTATTTAAATATAATATAGTTGTTTCCTTTACTTGATGGTCG